TGTATGCAAATCCTAAGTCATTTTATGTAAAGGATTTACCATGGGTTTTGGTAACGTGGGAAGTCTTAGAACCAATCCCCTTGGATTCTTTTTTTCTTTAATACAAAAGTTCTTACAATGTATCAAATATATCATACTTGAATTCACCCCCTCCACCTTCTCCTTAATTCCTGCCCCCTTTGGATTCTGAAGGGTAGCTATATTTCGTTTTTCCTAAACTCAGATCAATTTAAAATCTAAACACCTAGATTTCAGTACTGATTGAAGAGAGGGAAGAAACAGAAAGCATAAACAGAGAAAACAGGGCACACACACACACACACAGAGAAAAGAATGATGCAAACAGGACAGGCAGGATTAGAAGGTGATCAATTAAGACATTAAGTGTTTTGTGACACATGGACACATTTGTATTTTGCCCTGATAACAAGGCCATCATCAGCTCATTTTCAGGGGACTGCTGCCTTCTTCAGCTCAATCCACAGATCAAAGCAAAACTGTCTGCTTGCATTTTCCAATCAGAATGGGGATGCTAATTTATACTCCTTAATGTGTGATGGTAAGAGACCCCTTCAATTAACTGAATTCTATAGCCAGCAAAATAAAAGGTATACAAAGAGGTGCAGGCTGGAAGAGCCGAAATTCTCATTAAATCAAAAGGTCCAGTATTCATTACCTCATGCATCTGAGGCTAAACACTAAACATGGGAATCATCAAAGGAGATTTAATGGGTTAAATTGAGACTATAATCTAATTAAAATATTAGATGTGGCTAAATAGTTCTTTGATATTCATCTAAAGCTTTCATTAAAAATGGGTGCTCGAGGTTTGTAACATAAGGGATTATCAATTTTAAGCAGCGACAACAAATTTAGGGGCCTCTTCTGCACTACTTCAAAGTGTCAGCATTGTGTGGACTCAGGGGAGATGGAAAAAGACCTCCCTGCCAGGTGACAGGGTAGGGATAGAGGTGGACCTGTCGGGCTTCATGATATAATTTCCATAGCTGTCTGGATGCCAAAAAATTGAGTGTAAGACTAAACTTCGAGGTGAATTTGCTACCAAGGAAAGAGTGCATATGGGGCCAAAATTATTTAGCACAGAGACCCCCAGTGATTTTATTCAGAGTATTCTCTACTTTTTTTCCTCTGTGTAGACAGTTTCTCAAATGATTACTGATTATACTTTCCAGGTTTTGAATTTCTGACAACTTTTCTCCTACTGTCAGATTTGCACCAAAGGTATACTTACTATTGAAATATCTGTTGCAAAAAATTGGAACCTAAATGGTAGGAGGGCACCCTGAGAAAGTAGGTTAGCAGCCTCAGAGTCAGGGTTAGTTTGTATGAGTTGCCAGTTTACTAAACAGTGTGCATGAAATCTTATCAGAAATTTGCAAGGCTTCACTAAAATACATTTTCCTGAAACGCTCACATCATTGTAATCCACTCAACCTGTTAGAGCTATTTAATAGCAGAAGACCATTTATTCAGCTTATTGAAAATTAATTACTTATATTACCCAGGTTTGCAAGGGGGAAATGAAAAAGCAATGGAGAGGCAGCCAGGGAGATAAACCCTGTCCTCCAAATTCTTTCTTCCTCTCTTAATATTTTCCAAAGACTCTCTGTATTGCTGGATAGAGAGGGCTGAAAAAAAAAACTATTCATTTTGCATCTTATTGCATTTATAATGTATTGTTTTCACAGTATTCTGTGAAGGTTCCAACTTTGCTATTATTTTATTGAGCCAAAATTAAGTAACCAAATATAAAAGAATGGAAATATTTCAGACTGGGGAGTCAGACAGGGAGTGAGATGAATGAATGAAGAATTAAAGAAAAGTCTTCTTTATTATTAGGAGCCTTTTGTTTTCCATTGGCCAAATAGTTGTTTAAAAAATTGGGAAATATATTTCCTTATTCCTTTTATTAGAAAGATGTGTGATTTTGCTTAATGAAGCAAGTGGGGTAAGTAGAAACAAATACTGTACTTAGTCTAGAGATAGTGTGGTGAGAAGGTAATTCTGAATATAAGATTTTTAGCTACTTGGAGCCCTACTTCAGGATATTTAAAAAACTAGAATAAACATCTAACTACAATTTTTATTAGAATGCACATTTCACCTTTAGAGTATAGAAATAATATTGTTTGGTCTGACAGTATAGACAACTTCTTATAATCACTGACCTAGGGAGAGTGAGCACTATAAATTAACACAGTAATTTAGAACTTTTACTTCTGTGCTACAGTTTTCAATGATTTCCTTACTGGGAAAACAGCTAAAGAAGCAAATAGAATATTTGTGTATCTTTCTGTTTATCTGTTTTTACCCACTGGGAAAAGAAATTATGAGCACCCAGCTTGAGGGAGGAGAAGCCCTTACAGTTATTCTAGGAATACTTGACAGTTGGATGAAACACATTTTATCCAGAATTTAGTCTATGAGGAAAAAGGAATCTTTTTAAAAGCAACCTGATTTTTCCTTCTGAACCTTCCATTTTCAAATGCTACTTCTAATATAATGATAACAAATGTATTTTAAAGCATATCTTGTGGAAACATAACTAAACTTATTCTGATATCTGCAGACTATCATCAATGTTCCATTTTTACTTTCTGCTATTTCTTAATAAGAAATTAGGAAAAAATCCCCCTGAGTTGGTCTAGTCTGCTATTGTAGGCCATTTGCTATCAACTCCAAGTTCTCAATTAGCTCCAGTGTTGTTATAATTACTGGACGTGTTTTCAAACAAGTCACCGTTAATAAGTGTTGGGATGAAGAGTCATTTTCTCACTATAGACTAGACTGCAATGCTCATGCTTGCTGTGATGTTTTGACAATGATTCATTAACCAATAATAAGGCCCCAATTGGAACCATTAGGCATCATTGCCTTTGCTAGGCTTACCTTTTATTTTGTTCCTCAATTTGTCTTTTCTTGACTTAGCTTCTGGATAACTCCCAAGAGACTCCTTACTATACCAAACAATATCAAGAAGACAGCTGTCATTAAATTCAGCTACTTGTAAAAAAATAAACTCCTTTTAAGAGGATGCTCTTGTAAATTCAGGATGGAAAAGTCCTATAAAGGGAGGCTGCAATGAGAGAGAATACACAGCTTAAAGGGCCTTTATTTGTACCAGCTCACGGAGATTAGGCAAAATTATCCTGTATCTTTTAATCACTTATATAACATCTGGCAAATACAGGCCTTCCCTCATTACATAACTCAAGTTTGAAGTTCCTAGTTTTCTAACAGGCAGATTGTTTTTGCATTCTTCATTATCTGAAACAGAAATGCTATAAAATTCATCCCTCATCCACTTGGTTTTATAAGAGAGCAATATTCTTGTTATAATATTGTACAATTTAAAGGAGGAGGGGCTGGCAGAGTGGCTCAAGTGGTAGAGCACCTGCCTAGCAAGTGTGAGGCTCTGAGTTCAAACCCCAGTTTCCCCTCTCTCTCAAAAAAAAAAGGCTTATTTTAAAAAAATGATGAAGAAGTAAAAAGTATTTGTCACTATTTGTGTGGAATGTCTTTCCCATCTTAGGATCATGGTAGCTTAGTGACATTCTGCTGAATCTTATATTGTGAGATGACATGGGGCCACATGAAAGGCTATTTTGATCCATCCTTTGATTTCTACCCTAAACTTCCAGCAAATATTTTTTATTTCTTTAGCAAAAGTAATTTTAGATGCCACTTGGCACAGTGTAAGGAATTTTAATGTTTAGAATCTTAGGTATTTGAGGGTAATGACCAGCATTGGGGGCAAGGATCCTGTGAAATGTTTTGACATCAACCAACTCACTGCTTCAGCTAAATGATGGTTCTTGAAGGTATGTGTGAAAGTGTTGAAGGATGAACCACATGTAGGATAACAGAAAATCTGTGATGGGAAGTTTCTGAAATGTTCTGTAAATGAAATAAAATAGTGTCTCTTTCACTGGTTGCTTCATAGGTCCATGCAACTTTGTTGATGTGGTAAGGACATTGCCAGATTGTCTGTGTTTAAAAAATTAACAGGTACCTCGTAATACATATTTCCAAAAATTGAACTTACTGGAAATTCAGGACCCAACTACATGCTCCTTGCCACACAGAGAAACAAGGACTTCCTCATTCTATTGACAAATAATCAAACAGTTACCAGACTAAGTGATTCCTGTGAGACTAAGTGATTCCAGTATTAAGAGAAAGTTATGGATAGGCAGCTTTTATTCCATATCATGATAAAAGTAAAATGTACACAAATTTCCAAAGCTGGTCCTTATGCCACATGATACGATAAACAGATTTGCCCTAAATTGTTAAAATGATCCATTTTTGGATATACCCTTGTAGGAAAGCGATGCCCAGGAAAGAGGTAAAAAATTAAATCCTCTAGTAATTGTTTTAAGACTAGGAATATTTATAATGCTTCAAAAGATAAAAATAAGTAGAATATTTATTAACATTTACATCTAGTAGTGAATCATGAAATGCTTTTGCCTTATACATTTTGTGTGAAAGCACACATTTGGTAATATTTTCAGATATTTGTGATGATGGCAAAATGCCCAGAGCCAGTGGCTCTTACAAAGTGTGTCTCTCAGAGTTGTCTAAGTTGGTCATTTCTTGATGTGCTGGAGGATTTGTACTTAATATCTTGACGCTCTGTTAGAATGACATTGTGATTTCTTCCATTTTAGAAGGCACCATCTAGATGTATCTTCATTTTTTTTCAGTTTTATATATGTGTCCTTTGGTAAATTTGGAGATTTGAGTAATATTTTTGAAATGTTACCTCAAAATTTACTGGTGATTAGTCCTAATTGAGGTCATTTTAGGAGATACTGAAGCATTTATATACTCCCTATCAGGGAGTTAAGAGAGAAACACAAGTAGATAAATTTATTTCTGGTTAACCTGGAGGTTATCATTATGCTAATAAAGGGCAGAGATAATTTAAGAAATCAAAAGATCCAATATAAAATCAAAGGCTTTATTGTCTGGTTATCAGCCTCAATTCTAACTGATTTGAAAATAAATTAAAAAAAATTCTCTCCCTAGAAGGTAAAACGTGGCACCATAATCTGATGAAACCCCCCTTATGAATCCCACACAAAACAAACATGGACTGCAGCTAGAAGACAGGACTAAGGCACCATGCTCCAGGCAGATGGGCTGCTTGGAGTTCCTTTCCCCATGTCCATTTTCAGAGTGTTTTTGATCTCCTACCAAATATTGCCTAGACAATGTGAAGGACTTTGAAAGCAGCCACAGCCTGTTTTTCCCTTTCGTGTCTGTTCTGCAGTATTTCCAGCAGTGAGATTTCAGGAAAACTTTCTTCCTTCCCACCATATGTTGAATGTTTCTTTTTCTTTGCTGCTTGATCAGTCAGATTTGATGATTTAGGTTTGGGGATGGTCTTAGCGTATTCTAAAGCCTAAAAGCATAAAGATAAAACTTTATTGAAAATGGTAACTGAGTCCCAGATTCCTACAATCAAAGCCAGTCTTGGAAATGTTTATAATATAAATGGAGATGCTTGCTATAATATGGGTGGAAGATGGAAACAATGCAATACACAGTTTAAACAAAATAAAACTGAATTTCCCTCAAGTGTTTGAAAATAGGTTTCTCATGTGTGTAACCTACTTAAGTTTCTGACAGTCTTATTAAAACTTAAACTTCTATTAGGGAGATATTAACACATCTTTTTACCCAAAGAGGACTCTGTTTAACTTGAGACTGAAGACATCACTGTGGTTGATGGAAAACTGAACCTCTTATATCACACTAACTTCTTGTTCCTAGGCTCTGGGAACTCTAGAAAGAGAGGTTGATTTTTTCCTTTTCTTTAGTATGTCTATAGAAACATAGATGATGAAAAGCCAGTCTTTTTTTGAGTGATGTCAGTTCTTACAGGCATTATGATAAAAATGGGACCAGTAGGGCTGGGGAGGTAGCACACTGGCAGGGTGCTTGCCTGGCATGTGTGAGGTCCTGCACCAATAAAACAAAACAAGACAAAACCAAAAACCAAACACAAAAAACCCCACTAAATATGATTTCCCAATCTGCCTTTATATGAGTTTTATATTTTAGTAAGAATTTATTGATACCTGAAATGAGAATGGATAGTGTATTTAGGTCCTAGAAGGGGAAAAAACCATCTAAAATGTAGGAAAGAAATGCAGACTTCTCAGTGTGTGTAGGTGAAATCTATATAGGAATTTCTAATTACAGATTTGTTGCCTTAAGTGCTTTGTAAAAATATAACGGAGTGGAGAAACAGAAAAAGTAGCATCAAGGAAACTCAGCTGAGAGGGTTGAAGTCTTCAAGGTCTGAAGAAGAACGGCAATAAACAGAACATAGGATGGGCTGTGAAGGACACATGACATTCACATTCCTGAAGACACGAAAGGATCGCTTATCCCTCATGCAACAGTCTTATGTCCTTACCCGGTTTGGACAGAGACTTGCACTGCAGAGTACATACTTTGTTCACTGACTCTTGGCTAGATGACAGCTGAGAGGAAGAACATTCTGTGTTTCTTGAAGTCATTTTTTTTTGCTACAGAAATCTACATTTTACTATATATTATAATCCCAATGAGAAATTGCAGGGGAATGAATTTGAGAGGAAAAATGAAGGACTTTTCTTTGACATGAACAGCAAGAAGACACTAATTTCCTTCCAATTTATTTAATGACAGAGAATGAAACTGATAGTCAATCAGGATTGCTAGTTTCTACTAAAAAATCATTTCATTACTTTTTTTTTATGTGTTATAACTTAAAATACTATAGGTGGAAGAAAAGATGTGGAGACAATGACTTTTGGGAAAATAAAAGCTAACCATGTACCATCGTGCAAGTATGAGTGTGTGTGTGTGACAGTGTATGAGTGTGACTGTGTGTGAATGTGTGACTGTGTGTGTGACTGTGACTGTGCGAGTGTATGAATGTGTGAGTGTGTGTGTGTGACTGTGTGACAGTGTGTGACTGTGTGAATGTGTGACTGTGTGAGTGTGTGAATGTGTGAGTGTGTGAATTTGTGAGTGTGACTGTGTGTGTGACTGTGACTGTGCAAGGGTATGAATGTGTGAGTGTGTGACTGTGTGTGTGACTGTGTGACAGTGTGTGTGACTGTGTGAATGTGTGACTGTGTGTGTGACTGTGTGTGTGTGAATGTGTGTGAGTTGTACATGTGTGAGTGTTGCTATTACATCAGTATCTGTGGGTAATGGTGCAGGAATGGCAGCTGCTGAAACATCTGTGTTCCAAATACTCAAGGAATCTTTTTGAAGTTAAGAGGTAACAAGTTTCTTTTTAATTCAGATTTTGTAAGAAAATAAATGCCTTGATGAGAACATCTTACCTTTTGCCGAGGGGCAGCTGATTTAGTTTCAGGTTTTGCTGTTTGTGATTTGGACAGGACGGACAGAGCCTTCATGTTGTACTCCTTAACTTGTTCTGCATATTCCTTTTGCTGTGCTAGCCTTTGCATCTATTCAGAGAAACAAAGCTATGATGAATCCCAGGTCCGGCTAGCTCTCTCTGCCCTCGTTTTAAAGTGACACTAGTTGTAGTGAGTTGGGCATATTAAATCAGTACCGCATGTAAGGTGACAACAGTGAACTCATTAATGTTTCTTCCAGAGAGGGTCCTCTGTGATAAGGAACGTCACTGCCATAGTACAGCTGGCATTCCCTCAATGTGACTAAATCCCATTCTGCTCTTTCTTTGTTACATTTACCCAGTTTATTTTTATCTGTGATTCCAACTTTGAACTATACTCTCTTTTTATGCCTGAGTGTGACTGTAGTTAAAAGATATTAAATGAAGACCTCCTTTCACTAGAGAAAGTGAAAAAGTGGATGAACTTCTCAGGGGTTGGGAAACTCATTCCCTAAGTGTCTTCTCTGTAGCCACTTCAAAGTTTTCAAGACAACTCTACCAGGAAAGACCAACAACCACATAACACACACATCCCTTTTCATATTCACGTGCTCCCCTCTTTGGCGCAGACTTTTAAATCTAATGAAAGGCAGGTGCATAAAATAACACTGGCCTTGTGTATTTTCACTTTATAGTAGAGAGAGTGTCTGCGTCTCTATTCTGTTACTAATTCTGTTTCTTAAGAGTCTCTATTGAGTGGGAGGCATTTGCTTGCACTGGGGCTTGATGCTGGGGAGCATTTTGATACAGTTTTGCTAAAGGATGGATGGACCGTGTCAAGGTTGAAAACATGACATATACATCTCACTCACTTTGTCTCTGATGGACTCAAAGTCGGGTCCCAGGCCTCCAAGCTTCACGTCTCTTTTCTGGTAACCTTTCAGCTTGGAAGTCTAAAAATACAACCACAGGAATAGCTTCTTTTAAGGACTTGTGTCCCCTCAAGCAATGTAGGTGCATAAGGAAAGAAGGAAGATGCCCAGAAGCTCATGAGGAGGTTGGAGAATGGGTGCATTTACTAAAGTTCTTCCTTTTTTTTGTGGGACTGACGTTTGAATTTAGGGTTTTGTCCTTGCAAAGTAGGCACTCTATTTCTTGAGCCACACCTTCAGTCCATTTTACTCTGGTTATATTGGAGATGGGGTCTCACAAACTATTTGCCCAGGTTGGCCTTGAACTTCAATCCTTCTGATCTCAGCCTCCCACCATTGTTCCATTTTAATGGCAGTTATTGATAATAGTCTATTTGGTACTTTGTAGGTGGTTAGCTAACATCTTTTGACTTTTTCACTTCTGCAATAAAATAAATTGAAATTCTGAAAGTTATAAATAAAAATTTGAGCTAGAAATGTGTTAACTTCATTCATTATTAATGTTTTAGGTTTTTTTTTTTTTTTGTGGTACTAGGGTTTGCCATTAGGGCCTTGCCATTGATAGGCAGGCACTCAAATATTTAAGCCACACCCCATCTCTTTTTGCTTTGCTTATTTTTTGGATAGAGTCTTGTGTGTATGCCTGGGCTGGCCTGGACCTTGATCCTCCTATTTAGGCTTCCTGAGCTTCCTGTATGACAGGCATGTGCCACCATGCCCAGCTTTCATTGGTTGCGATGGGGTCTCACGAACATTTTGCCCAGCCTGGCCTCAAGCCTCAATCCACCCAATATTCACCTCCTGAGTAACTAAGATTGCAGGCATGAAGTACTGAACCCAGCTTAATGTTTTAATTAATTAAATAATTTGGTGGTACTGGTGTTTGACCTCAGGGACTTATGCTTGCTAGGCAGGTGCTCTACCACTTGGGCCATGTCCCCAACCTGTTATTAATGTTTTTGACATAACATATACATTACCATTTTGCCACTGCTGCTGTTTCTCTGATGTGTAATAAATGACTTCCCTAGAAAAGGCAATCAGAAAAAGCACATTGCAGTTGAGTGCCAGTGGCTCACACCTGTAATCCTAGCTACTCAGGAGACAAAGGATCAAGTTTTGAAGCCAACCTGGGCAAATAGTTTGTGAGAACCCATCTCGGAAAAAAAAAAAAAAACCATCACAAGAAAGGCTGATGGAGTGGCTTAAGGTGTAGGCTCTGAGTTCAAGCTCTAGTCCCGCAAAAAGAAAAGAAAAAAAGCATGTTGCTTCAGAAAGAATATTGAGATTACACTAATTGTCCTTTAGAGACGCTACAGGAGAGAAGTGAAGATAGCAACAAAAAGAGATAAATTTAAGCAAAAAGACAAAACCAACCAAATTAAAAAAAAAAAAAAACCAAAAAACCTAACTGCACTCTATTCATAGTACTCAAAAGAAAGTTAGCACTTCAGAATCTTGACAAGACCCACTGAGACACCCACTTTGTCCAGTCAGTGTGATTTTGGATGTTTCAAAGGGCACACAGCGCTTTACACTGTGACTCTCATTAGTACTGCACATTTGAGAGGACAGAGCAACAGTGAGGCAGTTGATTAGATCACACACTTAAGCCGAGATAAGCGGGAAAACCCTAATGCGCTACTGATCAGAGGCTAGATGAAGACATTCCCCCAACTGCAGCTTTCAGCAATAAAGTTTAGGCTTGGGAAAACCAAATCCTTTTATCTTTCAACTTCTGAATTAATTTGGCTCCCTTTTCTAGGAAGGGCATAGCAAAGACAATTCTAATGAAGTAGTTTGGATGTCAGTAATCACCTTAGGGCACATTTAAGTTTATGCCTGAGTGAAGAAAGAAAATAGCCATACTACAGAGGTACCTGTGGTGTACTAATTGTGTATGACTCTACCTGTCTGTATGTCAATGTCAAGGCAGTTTTTGTTTTGTTTTGTTGTTAGTACTGGGGATTGAACTGAAGGCTTTGCTCTTACTAGGCAAGTGCCCTACCACTTAAACTATGCCTCTAGCCCTTTTGTTTGTATTTTGCTTTTGAAATAGATTCTCCCTAACTTTGCTCAGACTGAGCTTAAACTCATCACCTCCAGAGTAGCAGGGATTACAGATATGTACCACCATGCCTGTCTCAAGGCACAGTATTTTCATAATTTTTGAAAGTTCCTGTTAATTATTATGTTAAGCTTTAAAGATAGACCATATATGTGGTGAGCCTTTTTCTATGACAGAATTTGGCCAAGATAGCTGGTAGGGTGGCTCAAGTGGTAAGACTGCCTGGCCAGCAAAAGTAAGGTCCTGAGTGCTGCTAAAAGAAAAAAAAAATTAAAAATAACTGTTCTATAATTAATAGAATTTGGCCAATATAGTCTGGATGAAAGAGAACATTTCATCATATTAGATGTATTTACTCCATATAACCTACAATCTTAAGAATGAACTTACATTCACACATTGAAGCCATTATAAGAATGTGTCCTGCTCCCAGCATTCTACTGACTACCAAGACATTAGTCCGGTTGACTTCTCCATTGCCACCTCCCACTGTAGAAGTTCAAAAGCTAAATACAGTCATCCCTTGTTACCTACGGGGCCTTGGGTACCTAGGACACCCTTGAGGATTCCAAAATCTGCAGATGCTTTAGGTCTCTTGTAGAAAATGGTGCAGTGTTTGCATATGACCACAGAGCCTGTGCACAGCACCCAGTATGCTTTCAACAAATCATGTCTTGATTATTCATGATGCCTAACACAATGGAAATACTATGTAAGTATTGTTCTGTTTAGGGAATAATGACAAGAGAAAAAAGTTCTGTATGTGTTCAGTACAGATGCAGTTTTTTTTTTTATTTAACTCCAAAAAGAAATACATGAAAGAGAAAAAAAATGAAAGAAAAAGAGAGTATTTTCAACCCATGGTTGATTGACTCTGCAGATGCAGAAAATCATGGCTATGGAGGACCCACTGTTCTCACCCCACCGTCCCAGACTCCCCAGCAATGAGCTCCAGCCTAAGAGGTGCTAAGTGAAAATCTGCTGAGTGGAGGGGGTGTCTTGCAAAGCTTTTATTCAGGCTGGTAGGGCTTCTCCTTTTCCCTTTTCTCTTTCCTGGGAAGTAGACGTGACTCCTAGAGCTGGAGCAGCCATCTTGCAACCAGGAAAGAAATAAGACAATCACTCAAATCTTGGTTCTCATGTTTGGAGCTGTGGAAATGCCAGTACCAGCAACAACCTGCCTGTGGATGAATTGGATGAAAGAAGGGTGAACCCATATATTTGAAATTGCTGGTCAGTCTGTTACATGCTGTGGAAAGCAATATTTCCAACATTTCAGTGTTTGCGTGTCATAATTTAAAAGGAAAAGGTAATGCGGCCACATAGGTAGTACTTCTGCACCATAAGGATTCTAAGTTCTCTGAACAGAATTTGCTCCATTACGATGTTGAACATTTATGGCCAGAGTACTTCAGAGCATCTAATTCTAAGAAGTGAGGGAAGATAAGATTCTAATTTAAGGAAATCTTTGGACTAAAATCATAAAAATATAACATTAAAATAGAAGAAACACTACTCACTGAAGGACATTTCTAAATCATAACTCTCTTTTATGAAAACAGAAGTTATTATAAGCAAAACCACTGTGACTGCTTCTGGTTCATTGTATCTGTCTGTTCATATTTTTATAAGATTATTTAAACACTACAAATTATTTTTTCCCTAAGAATTTTATATTCTTTCTTATCACTAAGTGGTTTTCAAAAATTTGATTTTTAAGGCATGACATTTTATTGTCTAGTTATAGCTAAATTATTGAGCTATTTTTTTTTAAGTTGAACATTCAAGATGCCCTGGGGGAAGGCATTGTTTGTGGGTGACTGATTATTTCTTTGAGATAAATATAAGGACAGTTATTGAGACCAAATGAACATCTAAGGCCATCAATTAGCATTTCTGTTAGCAATAAGATTGCCTTTTGTCCACATCTTGGTCACATTGGATCTTATCACATTTAAGAACCTCTAGCAATTTTTAATAGGTACATGTACTCAGATAACCTATATTTGCAATGACAAATTTGCTCTTCTCACATGTGTCATTAGTATCATTGCTTTGTAATCACTGAATTACTATCTACTTGCCAGAGTAAACCAATAATGAAAAGGAAGAGAAAAAAAACCCCTCACTCATATCCAAGTCAAAATCCAATTGTCCAAAGATGATGAGAAAGAAGCGATCAGTGCCCAGACATCTCATCCTTGGCCTGAAGCAGCTTAACTTTTAATGACCCCACCGACTCACAAAAGACACACTGGGAAGCATGAACAATTGCTCATTGGTCCCTGGCCACAGTTATTGCCATTACCTACAATAAACATCTTAGAACAGAAAAAGAGAGCCAAAGCATCCAGCCTTACATGTGACATGAAGGGAGAACGTGTGGCCCGAAGGGGCCATCCCCAAGGCTCCTGATCCCTTTATAGGATGAGCTGTCTGTGGCAAAGCGACATTTCTCAAAGGATCGTGGTGGCTCCTAACGGAGTTTGTTCTGGATGACTGGCAATGAAAATTTGGATTTGCTTAAGTTTGGCGCAAGTAATCTCGAACTGCTTCTTAGCACCATGATTCTGTTTGATCTCCATCCATCTAAAGTCTTTTCAGCAGCGTTACTGAGATATAATTCCCACACCACAGAATTCACTCACTTGAAATTGTACAATTCAGTGTTTTTTAAGGTAGTCACTGAGTTGTATAAACATCACCACAATCCAATTTCATTATGTTTCATCTCCCTTAAAGAAACTCCAGACCCATTAGTACTCACCCCCTCCCCCCTCCACCTCCAGCTCAAGGCAACCACTAATCTACTTTCTGTCCCTTCAAAAGTCATTTATAGTAAAACAGTATCCAGAATTTACTATGATTTACCTTGCTTTGACTTTTATAAGACTAAAGGATCACAGTAGCAAAATGCCAAAATAATAATAATAATAATAATGGTAATCTATCAACACAGATAGTCCTATTAATTTTCTGAACACAAGGAGATCAACATGGAACAAAATGGAAAATATAGACATGGTCTGGATGGTCTCTGCTTGCGTCCACTGCTAGTCTTTGAACAAGACACACACAGTGATGTCCACTTCCTCTGGCACAATTAGATGGTGGTTAACACCGGACCAGCTGGCGTTCAGAGTTAACAAATGACACAGGACTTTCTGCTTTTCTTTTTCTTTTTCTTTTGCAATACTGGGATTTAAATTCAGGGCCTACACTTTAAGCCACTCTACCAGTCCTTTTTTGTGATAGTTTTTTTTCAAGACAGGGTCTTGTGAACTATATTGGCTTCGAACCTCGATCCTCCTGAGCTCTGCGTTCTAAGTAGCTAGGATTAAGGAGGGAGCCATCAGTGCCCAGCTGGCACAAGACTTTCTCGATGGAAGTTTTCTATCAGGAATGAATCCCAATTCTTCTCAAGCCAGATGGGTGATTTTTTTTTTGTTGTTGTTGCAAACTTGGAACAGAGTGTCCCTGAATTGAAATGACACAGACTGTTCTGTGAGAACTTGTTTCAACTCTGTCGCACCCCATTGTAGGGGACACTGCAGAGCTATTCTTGGAAAATTCCCTGAATGTATGTGAGAAAGTTACCAAAACAAAACAAAACAAAACAAAAAAACCAACAAAAACCAGACCAAAAAACAATGTGTCAAATGCTGAGGAACAGTGAGTGGAGGAAATTTGCTCTGTGGTTACTAAACTTAATCCAAACAAAGCTCTTCTTAGAAGCAATCAGGTGGCCTTTGACAACAAACACACGAGGTAATTACTGAGCCCAACCCTTAGCTGTCAGAGAACTCTACTATACGTTATTTTGTGCTGGGTTGTGAGACCACAAGTGTATGTGTATGCTGTTTGTCATCCCTTGTACTATGTTAATCTCTTACGGACTGTCATCTGCGTTTAATGACGGGACAATGCCTGATACTTGTAAATCAGTCACAACAGCGCTGCCAGATGAGGAAAGGGGCCTGGGTTTATGATCTTCACAAATCCTCAAATTTTTAATGTGATTCCGTGGAAACCACAAGATTTGATGTGACTAGCAAATGGACACGACCTGGATAATGACTCCCTCTGTCTGGGGCCCCAGCTACCTGCTGTCCTATACAAATAGCTCATTACTAAGTCACTTTAGCTTTTGGAACAGCTTAAGGGACAAAGAGTGCTTCTGTGTATTTGTCAGCTGTAGACTGAAGGTGTTGACTGAGCAAATGGATGCCTATGATTGTAACATTCCTGACAGGAAGGGAGGGATTTTCCCAGTTGGGAATAGGGTTTGGGAGGCAGGAACTGGAAATTCTCCTTCCTATTCCCTCTCCTCCCATATGCTTAGATTTCTGGTGAAACACACTTTCCCCAGGGTACTTTTCTCAGTAGAATGTGAATTTAAATTAACTAAGAGAAGGAAAATGAAACTAAATGTTTAATTCCTAGGGAATGAGCTACAGTTTTAATACATTGTTTCACTTAATTCTATACCGTGTCTACAAAAGGAGAGAGTAATTCTGCTCCTGCATATAAGGAATTAGGAGCTCTGGTAAATGAGTAACTTGACCAAGATAGATAGATAACAGGTGAAGGAGCTGAGGTGAGAATTTAGGAAGGACTGAGTCCATGACTTCCCCCAAACCCTGCAAGCTGAGAACTGAGTTTGAAAGTCTGCGTTTTCAACAATGGTCCAAAGTTGTCAAGAATTAACAGGAAAACTTCTCTTCTGAGGGAGTGTATTTGAGCTACTTTTTAGGCCCAGACGATCTGTAAGCTCTGGAGTGAACAGCCCGTTTTCACGTTGAGAAGCGTTGGTTCCAAAGCTGTGATTACATTTTCCCCATGGAAATAGTAATAAGTATGATGTTTGGCTTCCTAGCGTGATCTACAAAACTTCCGTATGAAACACTTGGACACATCACTAACAGTACCTGAGAACCTACTACTATGTAAGGATGAGTCTATGGGAACCGTGATTCCAGAAACATGTCTCCTTATTTACAGCAGAACTGGGGGTTCTCTCAGCTCCAAGCTGTGAGTAGTTGTTTTCCTGCCTGGGCAGGGATTGGGGACCCCAGCAAAATAAAGGACAGGAGGGAATGGAGTTAGATAAAGAGCCTTCTAATTGGGGGACTATGTGAAGGAGGCACTCCAGGCTGTGAGCAAGCTGGAGACCTGGGGCCTACAGGAACTGGCTGGGTCACTTCTCAGCCCCCAGCCACCTTCCTTTCCTTGTCTGTAATGTGACTGCTACCCATTCTTGTCCGGCTTCCCCTTTTTCTCTTTGAGACCATCCCCTTTCCTTTTTGTTCCAGGGACCCACATGGGGGTCCATAGATTTCATAATCCTGTAACTTCCTGCTACATTCTGCATCTGCCCTGCACACCATAGCCACAGTGACCTTTCTAAGATACAAATCTGAGCATGTTTAAAATTCCTCTACTGGTCCCACTCTGGCATACAGAATGAAGTCCTCTAAGTCTTGCTCCCAGCCACCTCTATGGGAGACTCACATGTCTCCACAGCCAGTGCCTCCCAGTCACAGCAAAGTGAAGGGCTTGTCCCACCCAGAATGCACCAGGCTATCCCAGCCCCAGAAGCTCAGCTCCATTGGTGTCTGGCCTGCAGTACTCCGCAGTCTTTTTTCTATGCCAGAATGCGACTGTCCTCTAAGGCTCAGCTCAGAAATCTCTCTTGAAGTTTGCTGGATCCCCAGGGCAGGACATGTGTCCTCCTTTGTGCTCTCTATGATAACTCTTTTTTTTTTTTGTCTGCAGCATTGTACTGAAGCCATTTAAATGTCTGTCTCCCCCAGGTCCACGTGACTGTAAGCTTCTTCTGGTAAGAGTTGTGGTTATTCCATCTTTACCTCTCAGCCCCATCACTGTGCTTAGCAGCAATTCAACTATTAAATAACGAATCGAACTAAGGAATGATCTGCTTAACTCCCCCCAGTTGGAAGGAATTAAGGTAGTTTTCATGGGAACTTGAGTTAGTTGATCTTGATTGAGATTAAGCTTCAAAAGGGAGCCTGAGCCCCTTCATTCACGTTCCCCAACCCAAGGTCCTCACCACAGTCAACCTGATGACCACGACATGCCCTTGAACCTGCAGAATTGTGAGTTAAATAAACCTCCCTTGGAGGAAGGTGAGGGAGATAAGAAGAAAAAAGAGGGGTGAATTTGATAAATGTACACTATATGCATATACGGAAATATCACAATGAAACTCCTTTGTACAATTAATATATGCCAATAAAAAAGTCAAAAAGCAAAATAACAAACACCTCTTTTCTTTATAAAGTAGCTTGCCTCAGTCAGGTATTTCATGATAGTAATGAAAAACAAACTGATTCATTATTTGACACTAGAAGTAAGTGATCTTTCCTAGGGGGCTCCTATTGCTTTTAATAATAGAGGAATACAACAGATCATGAAAAGATTTAGTGCACAAAGGTGCCAGTGGTAGTGAATCTACAGACAGAGAACTCAGTAAAGATCAGTGAACATTTCAGAGGAAAGCTCAGTCATTGGCTGCAGAAGCTGAGGTGAGGTGAGGGCAAGAGGAATTCTCAGGTAGCAGGAACTACTGGAGGATGACTGGGAAGGCCCAGGGGCTGTCACTCACCAACCCTACTACTCTTCTCAGACAGAGAATGTGCATGGGGACCGAAATGTGGGAGGGACATTGAAGCTGGGGCAAACAGGAGAGCTCTTACTGCCTCTGCACCTGCACAGCCATCCTTGAGATGACTTGAAAAGGAGGTGGAAATGGGTGTCCCAGGCAGCAAAAAAGAAAGGGAAGGAAACCCCAGGGAGCAGCAGAGGCTAGAGCAAAGGCATTCCAGGGACCTTGGGCCACCCAGTCATTGGCAGCAGCTTGCCAATGACTGTCCCTATTCCAGGGACAAAAATCCATGTCAAGCTGTATGCTCAAAATTAAAAAGTTACTTGATTAAAAACAGTGCTTTTATTTACCTTAATGCTGCTTCTTTTCCTATGCTTTTTCCCCTTTTCCAGTTGAAACAGATAGCCTTCAGAATTGCTATGACTGAGTTTCACTTGGTTTCTATGGCTTCTCTCCGAGCTGAGCTGGGATTCGCTTTTGACTCTGGACAAGATGGGGGGGAATGTGACGCTGGATGAGGAGCCCTCGCAGGGCTGCACCTCGGCCAGCTGCACCAAGGCCTGCTGGTGCTGCTCCATTATCTGCAGGAGCCGGGAATCCGGGGAGGCTCTAGTGGGCTCGCTGTCCAAAGAAGAATGGAATTTCCTTTGGAAAAAATGCACAAATTTGTTAATAAAACTTGAATACATAGGCCTCTAGCATCCACATCTTTATGATCCATTAACTTAATGTATTTATCACTTCCCAAATCAAATTAATGACCTTCATCGTAACTCTTTCATGAATACATTACCGTATCTTTAAATCCTTTTCTTTTTTCTTTAGGACATTCTAACTCTTTTTTAGAACTTTTACTTTGCATCTTCAGAATAGAGAAAAAAAAAAAGCCAAAGACCTTCTTACTACAAAACATGTAGAAAATGTTAGATTAAATTAAACAAACATTCTTTAAACACATAGTTGAATTTTTAGAAGAGGCAGGGACTCTCCAAGGTGAAAATCAAAATGGAGCTAAAAGGCAAAGCAGACTCCGGATTAGCTGTAGTGAGGGCTTTCTTTGTGAGATTTTTGGATCTAAAGACTTGAGTTTTCCGTTAGCAGTGGTACAGGGTAGGCAGTATCTTGGCCTCACCTGAGGCAGAGAATCAGAACTGAGGTCCTTGACTAAAGACTATCATCTTTGAAGGGTTACATCCTCAGTAAATTAGTGGATTATAAAACCACCAGCCCTAAGAAACAATAAAGCAAGTCTCTCTTGGCCTGGACTCTGAGTAGGAAAAAGAAACAAACAAACAAATCTGTGAATTTCCATGTGACAATATTTGTGGTTTAAATTTACTTTATTCACATAATTGTGGAAATTAACATTAAAGTGGTCCTGGAGGAGGGATGTTTCTGTAGAATGGCAGAAGCAAATATAAAATTTCTCTGGAGGGATACACTTCAGTCACGCCTGCCTAAATAAGGTGGCTAAACTAAGTCTAGAATCCCAAATCCTAGCACATTCAAAGAAATCTCCCAAGGATAAGATTCAACAGAAATACACGCACATATACAAGCAGCAGTCGTAGATGTTCAAGAACATCAGGTGACAGAATACTAGACGGTATTCATAACGTATGTACAACATGATTAAGGATACAAAAAGGAGTCAAAGTTCTAAGAAATATATTAACAATATTTTTAAAAGAGAATAAGTTTTTAATCACAAAGCTTCTGTTCATCAAAAGAAATGGTCTCTAAACTGAAGAGAACACCCACAGAGTGGGAGAAAATATTTGTCAGCTATACATCAGACAAAGGACTGATAACCAGAATATATAGGGAACTTAAAAAACTAAATTCTCCCAAAACTAATGAACCAATAAAGAAATGGGCAAGTGAACTAAACAGAACTTTCTCAAAAGAAGAAATTCAAATGGCCAAAAAACACATGAAAAAATGCTCACTATCCCTAGCAATAAAGGAAATGCAAATTAAAACCACGCTAAGATTCCACAATTAAATAGAAATTGTAACCATGAAAAACACCACTGCTAGATTTAAAAACTCACTGGACTCATTAAAGAGCATATTGGACCTAGCTGAAGAAAGTCATTGCACTAGCAAAGTTTTCTGAGGAAGGTTCCCAGAAAGAACAAGATGTAAAATAAGAAACAGAGTGTAAAAGGCACAAAGTGCAGAATAAGAGAAATTAATACATGTCTGGTTCTTGGAAAACAAAACAGAGAAAATTTGGTAGACATAATATTAAAAGGGAAAATGGGTAACAATTTGCATAATTATGAAAAATGAATCCTCAGACTCGGGGATCACAGAAGAGTCTCAAATAGAACTAAAAATTTGTACCTATAAATATATATCACAGTGAAATGTCTAAACCCCAGAATCAAAGGAAGATTTAAAAACTATCAAAAGATTTATTTTAAACTAAAAACAAAAGGAATGATAATTATATTGACAAAAGACTTTTCAAACCAACACAGAAGCCAGAAGACGGAAAAATAATGTCTTTAGAGATGAATCCTTTACCAAGTTAATTATAATTCAAGACAGAGAATAAGGGGAAGGAATTTTCAATAAATTTCAGAGACCCACACTTGCTGGAAGATTGTACAGAATCTACTCCAAGAAGACAGGATAAAATGAAACAAAGAAGGTAAGGCAAAGAAATTAATAAACGATTGGTGAATCTAAAACAACATTAACTTTATGTAATGGCAAAAGAAGCAATAACTGACTTTGAAGACACAAGGTGCTAGACAAGTTGCTGGACAGAGAAGTATGTAAGACAGGACAAGTGACTATTTTAAAAGTCGAATGGCTTTGAACATACTGTAGAGGAGAACAGAAATAGCAACTTAGCTTGGGATGTAGCTCAGTGGTACAGCACTGCTCTAGCATATGTAAGGCCCTAGATTTGATCCTCAGTATAGCAAAAAAAATTAATTTAATGCAAGACTAGTTAAATATGTAAGGAATTTTTAAAATAAAAGTTACAAAGTATATATTTGCAATCAATAGAAGGAAAAGTAAGAAGCTATAAATGGAGATAAAGAAGCAAAAGTAAGGTGATTAGAAGAGACAAATTAGGGTGGTAGAAATAAATCCAAATATATGAGAACTACTTACATTGGATGTAAACAGTTCAAAGTCACTAGTTACAAGTGAGTGTAAGCCTGAATAAAAAGACAAAATCCAAAAGCATACTATTCAGAATGGATAGATCTAAAACATAAAAACACCTAAAAGTTTTAAAATAATAGAGAAAATGTACCAGAACCAATACTCATCATAAGAAAGTGGGTGATGCTATATTAATATCAGACAATACAAAATTTAAATAAGGCTGGGTGTGGTGACACATGCCTGTAATCCCAGCTTTTGGGAAATGGAGGCAGGAGAATCATGAGTTTGAGGCCAGGGCTTCAAACTCTCTTAAAAAAAAAAAAACCCACAAGAACCCTCACTGGGAATAAAAATATTAATTACATCATGATTCAAAGCATAATTCACCAGGAAGATAAATTAATTATATGTACCTAAAAGCAAAACTTCAAAATACATAAAGCAAAAACTGATGGAATATAAGGTAAAGTTGACAATTTTTTTTCTATACTGGGGTTTGAACTCTGGGAGGACACCTTGAGTCACTCTGCCAGCCCTTTTTTTGTGATTTTTTTTTTTTTTTTTTTTTTTTTTTTGACATAGGGTCTTGAGAACTATTTGCCCTGGCTGGTTTCAAACTTCGATCCTCCTGATCTCTGCCTCCTGAGTAGCTAGGATTACAGGTGTGAGCCACTAGTGCCTGGCAGAATTGACAATTCTTAAACACAGGGAAATGCCAAGTTACCAGTGTCATTAGCTGGTGTATCCAGCAGTGAAACTTAACAGGGAGACAGAAGACTTAAGCCACATTTAACAAGCTCACGTTAGTTTGAGTTATAACCATGGGCCGCATGGTAAAGTTTCAGTCAACAATGAGCCACATGTGTGGTGGTGCCTCACCTTGAAGGCATAGCCATCTTAGTTTGTCTGACACACTCTACCATGTTTGCACAATGACGACATTGCCTAATGACGTGTTTCTCTGAACGTGGCCCCATTCTTGATTGTTTTGGCCTTGCTGGCCCTGTGGTAGGCGATCTGCTCTGCAGGATCACTGCTGTGGTCAAGGTCAAGGCGAAGGGCCCTCATCAGTCATTGACTGAGTGGGACCGTTTTTTTATTTCTTTTTTTTGCAGAGCTGGGGTTTGAACTCAGGGCTTTGCACTTGCCAGGCAGGCGCTCCACCACTTGAGCCCAGACCGCAGCCGTCTCCCCGTTCTTAGGGATGCGTGACTGTATGTAGAATGGGGTATCCCACAAGTGTAGGATACACATTCCTAGTTTCAAAAATGAGGAACATGGGGAGCACTGACTAAATATTAGGCCAAAAAGCAAGTATCAAAACCACTGACACCATAGGATTACGTTCTCTGACCATGATGAAGCTTTCTCAGATAGACAGAAATACAAACATCTAAGATAACCTTACGTGTTTTGAAATTTATAAACATGGTTCCAAACAACTGATGGTCCAAAAAGGAAGTCATGATAGAGATGAGGAGAAAACAACAATGAAAATACTACGTATTAAAAATTTGGGGATGTAACTAAAAGTATACTCAGGGGAAATTTGTAATTTTAAGTTACAGCCAAAAAGAAGAAAGACTTAGAAATAATGAGCTATGTATCCAAACCAAAGGCTGAGGGGAAAGAACACCCAAGATTACACCCAAGGAATAGCAAAGGAAGTAAATATAAGAACAGAGGTTGATGAAATAGAAAAGAAAAACAAAATACAAAGAATCAGTATGGCCAAAAGTTGTTTTTGAAATGACAAGTGAAATGGACATTCTTTCTGCAAGATTGATCTAGAAAAACAGAGCATGTGAAAACACCTCTGATGGTGGTTGGGTGTGGTGCTACATTCCTGTAATCCCAGCACTTGGGAGTTCAAGTCCAACTTGGGCTACATAATGAGACCCTGTCTCAAAACAAACAAAATAAAGCAAAACAAACAACCTTCCCAGACAAAAAAATAAATAAATAACTTGAACAGTTACTTCTGTGTTATGAGTACAGAATAGATTCCTGCTCTGAAAAAGGACTTTCTATCTCCTGCCATGGTTCTAACCAAATGGAAAGCACACATGGTAACCTGTAGCCAGGCATCCTGCAAGCAGCTGGTTACCCGGAGATGTTTTGCATGTTTAAAACATAAAATGGAAGTTAAAAAATCAAGTTGAGAAAAGGGCTGGAGGCATGGCTCAAGTGGTAAGGCCCTGAGTTCAAACCCTGGTTACCCACTCCCCCCCCAAGAAAAGGATGAGAAAAAACCCAAATCCTAACATTGGATATGGAAACAAATGCATTCATGTGTACATTAAACAGTTATCTCCTTCCAGAGAAAAGAATTAATTCAAGAAGCAATCCGACCCAGTGTAATTTTAGATTATACACATTTAAACCCTTAAGAAGATACAAGAGAGGAAAAGAAGGGAGAGAAATCTTTACCTAAAACGATTGCTTTGGCAGTGACCTTGGTATTGTAATTTGAAAGCTACTTGCATGTGTGCTGCAGGATGGAGAAAGCAAGTAAA